AATATTTAACTTGGGTATGCCATATTAATTCATTTCAGGGTATTAAAGTTAAAAATGGTGTAAAACTTAGAGTATTTAAGTGCAAAAATAACCCAAGAAATGAAGAAACCAGAATGATCTAAAGGTAGAAATGGGCAAAATATGTAAGATGAACAGTACAAATCAGTGCGCAATTCACTATATAACACTGGTCTGTCTTGCAAAAAATAAGCCCAAAAAGATTTAGATCTTGACATGGATTTTTTTTTTTTTAAATAGATAAAATGAAAGATATGGGAATGTTGGAAGCAAGCTGACCTGAGACTCCAACCATAGCCAACATGAGGAGAAAATACACAATAGCAGCCATTAGCAACCTCAAACTCATAGAAGAGAAACAATGAAGAGAATGGTATGTGGTTCAGAGAGAGAGAGAGAGAGAGGGAGGGTGGGAGGGAGGGAGTTGGGTGAGGAGTAATAATTGAGGACAAGCACTCTCTCTCTGTCTCAATAAGATGACTCTGTCTCCTTGATAAATGAGCCCTCCCTCTCTCTCTTTTGAGTCCATAGCCCTTTATATATGAACATCATTTCATTACAGCCCAAATGTGGGGTTTAAGAGGAATTTAGGTTTAAATATACTTTTTTGATTATGGTTGGTAGGTTAGCACGTTGGCTGTATTCCTCACCTACTTGTCCTTGTCAGCTGCTGCTGACTCAATCTGTGTACTGACCTGTTTAGATTCTAACTCTATACTAATCAGGAGGATGTACGAATATATGCTTCCTAAGCTAACATCTCTTAAATAATAGTTAGCTTTGGGATGCTAGCTAGCTAGCTAGCTCATAGTTCGCTGCATAGGGTGGGTCATGGTCCGAACGCTTGACCCACTTTATGCATCATGTATTGGTCTCACAAATTTTTGGTAAAATTTCGGCTGTGTTTGGATATTGTAAAGCAAGACTGGGTCGGGGCTGGTTTTAATTTAACTAATTTACAGTTAGTGTTGGGATCTAAGATGCAAGTTTACAGGAGGGTGAATAGGACGGTTTATTATTTTTCGACAATTATAGATAATGCATATGAAATAAAAACAATAATTTGAAGGGAAAAATGTGTCCAGGCCCCAAAAGTGGGAACTTCGTGTGACTAGCCCCCTTGTACTTTGCCCCATTATTAACAAATTATCATTTATAATATTATAGATTATATTTAGCTATTATATTAATATCCTACCCAAACTAAAACACCATGTAAAACTCAAAACACCTAAAAGATGTTTTCAAATAATTGTGATGTTTGTTGTTTTTGGTTTTTTTAATCATAAAAACATCATGGTTCCCAAACACATGGTGTTTTTATTTTGATAAAAACACCATGGAAATAGAGAAAACACCATGGTTCCCAAACGCACCCAAGCAATGAGTTTGTACTCGGCGAGTGGGAACACCATAATACTTTTAATTAAAAGTCTAAATTCAGACTTTAGTGAAGTACACTACTTAAAAATTATTTCTTAAAAAAATTATTTAGAGTTATAGGTTAAATAAAACTAATTAAAAATTAGAAAATTTAAAAAATTTCAAGTAGATCAATTATTAATTAACTCTATCAAGTTGGCAAGTAATAATTTGTAAGAGAAAGAAAAGAAAAGAAATTATGAAATAAAAACAAGAGAAAATAGTAAAATAAAGAGAAAAGATGACTAGTTCCACACCCACACCTAAATTTTACATTGTACTCAATGAAAACTCTATGATCCGTAAAGTATAGCAGATAGGAAATGAGACTTATATTTGTTCGCTCGACCTAGAATAATGATAAAAATCTACAATTACCATTGGTATGAAGAGGATGTAGAAAAAAAATTCTTTCAAATTTTTTTCTTTATATATATTTTTTATTTTTCTATTTTTATTCCTTTTTTCCTCTTTTTTTTTTAAAAAAGAACAAGAAATTCTCAAAGGAGAGAAGAATAATTTTTTTATTACAATTTTGAGACAAAGAGAATTGATGTAGAATAAAAGATTGAAAATGAAAAGCTCACACTCTACATTGAATCCTACGTTATTGCTAAAAATTCTACCTTGGATTTTAAATAAGTCTAGAATGATATATTTAATGATGTGCTTAAGTTCTATACATTTTAAGGTTTTTTAATGATTTTTGCAGCATTTGAAGGTACATATGTTTTTTTGTGTTTCTGGTGTTAGCTAGTCTCAAATTTGAACTTAGGTTCCCTATGACTAATTTTTTTTCCTAACATAACCAATTCTTCTTTGAAAATTTCCTCAAACTCAAGATTCATGGCTGAGACATGATAAGCTAGTCATTCTATATTTTCTAGGAACCTAATCTCATTAGTAAAAAGTTCTTCAAAGCTAACATCAGAGAAACTTGTGTCTGACTCCGTGAAAACTAGGTCTTGATTCAATCTCCTCTAGTATTTTAATTTCATCATAAAAGATCTCCCAAAACTCAGGTCTAACACACTCTTCTCTTTTAACTCTTCATTTAAATTTTCCTAAATGTAATTTAAGTGTAGGGTTGATCTGATGAATTAGTTGTCTAGTTGTTTAGATTGAATAAGGGCAATACCCCCTAATCAAGATAAGGTGAGGGATTTCATCATCTTTTTCTTAGCCCACAAATCACTAATTCCTCACTACACAAACCCAAACCTTTTTAAAACTCATTAGACGTTGGCCCCTAAGGACTCGAACTCAATAAGGAACAAGAAATCTCTAAGTAAACCGGTTCAAGTTTTATTAGATTAGTTGGTGTTTAAGGAAAGGTTTAGGGATTGAGTAAAGCACTCTACAAGGAACAAGATACTTAATTGATTTCTGATCACCCTCTAGTACTATCCTTACCTGGCTAACTGACCGAGTAAAATTTTGATCTTTTCACTTAAGGAGGTTTTGGTTAGGAGCTGGTCTAGCTGAATTAGGCTTAACCCTAGTGTTTAGAGTGATTGCAAGGTGATTGTTTTTTATTTGTTTTAGTTAGGTTTTTTTCTTTTTTTTTCTCATTATAAAAAACTTACTTTTACTTTTCTTAAAAAATTTAGAAAAAGAATTTGTTTTTGGTGCATGCAAACTGGGATTAGGGATAATATCAATCGATTAATCTATTTTGAGCTAATTTTCAAAGACATGGCCTATCCTAATCCATCGGTTCTTCAAGTTATGTGTTATCAGGAAAGACCACGAAAAAAAAAGATGAGTCTGGTTTTAGTTTTGAGGAAATCTTTGGTGAGGAGTTAGAGTTATTAGAAAAAGCAGATCAGGTTTGTCAGAATAAGAAAACTGTGTTAAACATTTGCTGCTTTAAACTAAATTTTGAAGAACTCTTTCTTGATGAACTTAGATTCTTAGAAAATAAATAACAACCAAATTTTCATACTCAACCATGAACCTTGAGATTGAGGAAATTGTTAAAAAAGACTTGGTTGTTAGAAAACAAACCTTCACAAATCAAGAATCTAAGCTCATTAAGAAATTCAAAATGCATGACACCAATAATACCTACCTTACATTGTTGCAAGAATTATTGAACACCCCGTAATGCTTAGAATTTTAGCACATCATTGATTATATCATTTTGAATTTATTCAAAATTCGGGGGAGAATTTTCAGCAATAAGGTAGGATTCAATGTAGAATACAAGCTCTTCATGTTGAACCCTTTATTCTACATTGTTTGCTTTGTTTTATTTCATAATAATAAAAAAGAATTTATTCTTCTCTCATTTGAGAGTTTTTTGTTCGATCGTGAAAAAAAAGGAAAAAAGGAAAAAAAAAGAATAAAAGAATAAATTTTTGATTTCATCCTTCTCAGACCAAAGGTATTTATAGATTTTTATCATCTAGGTCAGCCGACCAAATGTAAGTTGTAACACCCCGCCCCGGAATCCCGGAGTCAGTACGCTATTAGATCTGATGGACTGGCCTCACAAACTACCACATGTCTTTTCAGCACGTTTTGTCCTCACTCACGTGCTCCCTGGAAAACTTCATCTAGGTCACCCATCCTAGAATTTCTCCAGGCCAAGCACGCTTAACTTTAGAGTTTCTAAGAGTTGGGTTCCCGAAAAAAAGATGCATCTTGGTGGTATGAGTATTCCAATCAAAACTATTAATACTAATCACATCACCCTCTCAAGGATTGGGGTATTACAAACTCCCCCACTTAAACTCACAACGTCCTCGTTGTGCCAAATCATATCATCCAAGATCGTACCATCCGTGTGAGATTCTAGAGGTGGCTCCTACGGCCTCAAGAGGTGGCTCCCACCCTCTCGACGTAGCACTTTGCGCCGCATAGCACTTAGCTCTCACAATTCCGGTTGGCTTGGCTCTGATACCATTTGTAATGCCCCGCCCCAGAATCCCGGAGTCAGTACGCTATTAGATCTGATAGACTGGCCTCACAAACCACCACATGTCTTTTCAGCAAGTTTTGTCCTCACTCACGCGCTCCCTGGAAAACTTCCCAGGGGGTCACCCATCCTAGAATTTCTCCAGGCCAAGCACGCTTAACTTTGTAGTTTCTAAGAGTTGGGTTCCCGAAAAGAAGATGCATCTTGGTGGTATGAGTATTCCAATCAAATCTATCAATACTCATCACATCACCCTCTCAAGGGTTGGGGTATTACATAAGTACTTTACTTTTTATCTGTATTACTTTGTGCATCATAGAGTTTCCATTGAGAACAATGCAAAAATTTAGGTGTGGGGGTGGAAAGTAGTATTTCTTATTCTTTATTTTACCTTTTTGTTGCGTTTTTTCCATAATTTTTTCTTTCTTTCTGTTCTTAATTTCTTAAAAAAAATCAGAAAAATATTGTCACTTGCCAAATTAATAGAGTTAAGTAACAATTGATTCATTTGATAATATTTAAATTTTCTAATCCTTAGTTTGTTATGTACTCAAGTTTACCTTTTATACTATGCAAAAGAAGAGTGCAGAAAATAGGCACAAAAAAGAAAAAAAAAGAAAAAGACTATTGAATTCAAGGTGATTCTATCTTATAAAGCCTAAGTTGACCGAGTAACTAAGCCCAATGAGTATTTTCATACTTAATGACCTAAACCCAATTGGGTTAGGATCCATTGGCCCAAAACTCGTTAAATGGTTACTTAGAAAGCCCGAGAAAGTAGAAAAAATCACCATGGAATAAGGAGTGAAAAAAATATACTAACAAATGTTTTTATATATATATATATATTTGTATATATGGTCTTGAAAAATAGTTTTGATTAAGAGACTTGAAAGTTATTTAAAACAAAGAGTTAGCATGTTCTTTTCAAAACTTTTAAATTAAATTTCTAAGTTTGACTTGGTTTTGTATTGCTATAATGAAAAAAATTTCTAGGAGATTTACCTTAGAGTTATATATAAAAATGTTTTCTTGAGTAATAACTAACTTCGATTAGAATGTCTAAATATATCAAAGAAAATTGGTTATTTACTGACTTCTTTAAATTGACAAGTTGATCGAATTTTATGGATATATTCACTGCAAACCCTCACGAGACT